TCCCCCTCCCCCCCCCTGTGGTTCCTGTGGTTCCCCCCCCCCCTGTGGTTCCTCTTGGTTTTCCCCCTCCCTTTTGTGGTTCTTCTGGTTCCTGTCTCCCCCCTCCCCCCCTGTGGTTCCTGTGGTTCCTCCGCGTGGTTGCTGCTGCTTTGTTGTTGCTGCTGTTCTTCTTCTTGTTCTTGTTCTTGTTCTTGTTGTGTGGTCGCCCGGGTCGGGATACCATTGGGGGGGGGGGGTCGAGAACGCGGAGCGCGGGCACATATAAGGGTTTAAACTTTACGAAAATTAGGGGTCAAACTCGTAAAGCCTGACCCCCCGGTTGGTATTGGGGAACCCACACAAACGCCCTATCAACAAACGTAATCAAACATCATAGCACTTAGAATCATTCGAGCCTGCAACAAGGACCCAAAGGCAACCAAGAAAACAGGTCCTAAGCCCTATGGAAGCCCGAAAACAGTCCTGCTCAAAGATGTGCTCTTTGGCAAGCAGGGGTGTAAGGTTCAGGGGCCCTAACCCCAAACCTTAGACCCCAGGCCCTCAAACCTAAGCAATAATTTCATCACCCTTGGCCTGCTCGTCCTTGCCCTCCTCGCAGGACCAGACAAGAGGGGTCCGGCCCAGGGTGCCTGGGATGTGTGCTTCATACTTAAAGTAGGATGTGGGCTTGCAGTTTAGGGTTTGGGGGTAGTACCAGAGTGCGTGGGATGTTTGTCTACGTACCTAAAGTAGGGTTTCGGGGTATACTAAGGAGTATGTTGTGCTAGAGTGCTTGGGATGCTTCGGGGGCTTCACTGGCTAGGGCTGTCGCACTTTCAAACCGGCTTTGGGCTTTGAGTTAGGTAGAGTTCCGGGCGTGGGATTAGCTTCTTTTCTTTCGGGTTTAGGTTTTTGTATACAGGGATCTGAAGCATTGGGCGAACGTCTAGCTAATCTTATGTCTTTTCGTGATTCCTCTAAGGCCGAAAACAAGTAAACGTCGCGTACTCCAGAGCCAAGAGCACACGATTGATTGGCATCAGCTTCTGCGCCCAGAAGTAGTTCTGCGATATCCAAGTGGCCCTGCTGCACAGCCCATGCAAGCGGAGCTCGCCCTTTGAAGTTCGTGTTGGCGAGCATGTCCTCTCAGAAACCAAAACCGCACCCAAACCTGGACTATTTATGGGGATATCCATCGTTTATTGGGCAGCGGATTATGGGACATTCGCTTCTTTTGCGGGTGCCTATCCTAAACCCTAATCCTAAACCCTAAACCCGTAGCTATATCCTTGTCGACACCGGTCTCCAACAAGAGGCGCACGGTGTCCAAGTGCCCAGCTGCAGCTGCTGTCGCAAGAGGCGTGTCATACACAGTGGTGCCCTCTTTGGGGATTGCTTGCCTAGCCCCAGCGTCCAGCAACAACCTCACAACGTCGATGAAGCCGCGCTCAGCTGCCACCGCAATGCAAGTCGTTCGGCTGTTCCTTGCTTGCACTTGCGGCTGACTCTGACTACCGAGTGCAACCTGCATAGCTGTTGCAACTACTGATTACTTCTGAATCCCCCGCCTCTGTCACTGTGCCTATTGCTATTGCCATGTTGTTCTTCAACCAAAACCTGATGGCCCTGGAGGCCGTTGGCTCCGTTGAGCCTCGATCATCACCACTCCACTATCATCATGATGACCATCGGCACCATCATCAATTCTTTTGCGGTATCATGGCCATCGTCAAGAGTACTTTCTTAGCAACACCTGAAAACGACGACACTTCTTGTTGTGTGAGTTATGCCCAGAGAGCCCAAGCCAATACCCCTTAAGTAAGGAATATAGCTTACATCTTAATATGAACCCCCTTATACTTCAAGGTGCATTCATTAATTAAGGGGTATTGGGCTCTCTGGGTGGTTGTCGAAAACCGTGTATCCTCGCAAGCTTCCGAGCTTCGGCTGTGTAATCTGGCGACGACAGTGGGAGGCGTCCTTGTTCGCCTTTGCCTGGGCGCTCATTTGGATCTTAAATGCCATTCATGAATCCGCATTTTTGTGAATTATGGGAACATATGTTACCCAACCATGAAATAAATGATAAGGGATTTAAGTTAAGCTATCTTTTGTCCTATCGTAGAAAATAGGGGTTTCTTTAGTATGGTACCTTAAAACAGCCTTACCTTAATCGGGATCTATCGTAAATCATAGGGTTTTCTTTATTGTGCTAACTTACACTAGTAGGGGTTCTTTATTATGGTAACTTAAGCCAAATCCCTAGCCCAGTTGCCTCTAGAAGCAGCCGGACGATGCCCTCGTGTCCGCGCTGGGACGCCACCCAAAGAGCCGGCAGGGTCTCCTGGACTTTGAAGTAACTTATAAGTAGGGTAACTATACTTATAACTCATATTAGTGGACTTATAAGCCTACTTGAGAAAAAAGTATAGACTTTTATTTCATAACGGTTCCTTTAAGGAACAGGTACCCCAAAAAGTGTTCAAGTATGGTACTCAAACCCAGGTCTCACTGCCGAGGAAGTCCGGGTCCGTGGGCCTTCCCAGGATCTCCTCCACCAAAGCCTCAGCTCTTCTTGAGGGAGCTATATTTTTTTCCTTTTTCCCAACGTCTACAGCAGCGACTCCGGGAATCTGTAGTTTAGGGATTAGAGGTTTAGGGTTTCGGGGAATTAATTTACTGTGGGCCCAAGATCTCCTCCACTATAGCCTCAGTTCTTCTTAGGGAATTACTATAGATCCCCCCTGTTATGGTATCTTTTATATACTTAGGGTCTTAGGATCTTCGGGTTTGGGTTGTTTTTGGAGTACTTAAAGTCTTAGGGTTCCTTAAGAGGAGCCCAGAGGCTTCCATGCCTTCCTCGGCTGCCTTGGAGAGGTTCGTGTCCTCTCTATCGGAGGCATCAGAGAAGCGGAGAAGCACCAGCTGCAAGTCCAAAGGTGAGTTTAAGACAGCACCGTCATCCAACATGACGCCATCATTCAGAAGTCTCTGCCTGAATCGTGGAGTGCCACAGAGGGGCTCCAGGTACCTCATGGGCTTCTCGATTTCAGGCTCTTTTCTCTTGCATGCTCACATATACAAAAACGACGAAAGTGTTTCAGAAGCATGAGCAAGTAACTACACATGCAAAACGAAACGAGTCTGTGATTGCACGTAGAGCTATTTGCACATCTCTTTGTGTAGCTATTTCACGGATTCCTACAGACACCCTTTTTCGATCCGTGCCCACCTCTTCAAAGCCTTGACATCACTCCTGAGCTGTTGTCGACGCACACTAAGAATCACGAGCTCCGTTCACTCGTAAGACTGTTGAGTGTTTGGGTCTCAGGATTCTTTTTCAAAAAATCTTCGCAAAAAATTACACCCTACCACATCTGAAAAGGACTTTCAAGAACGGCCCAAACTCAGCTCTTCCACCGGCAGGGAGGCAATCTCTTCACCCGAGGTCTTCCAAACTCGCAAGAGCTCGGGAGTAGGCTCCAGCGGCCGTTTGGTCATGGCTTTGGGCTGTGCTTTGGCTTTGAAGCACCATGAACCCGAGTTGCAGAAGCACGAAGCTTGTGACTGTAGTAATCTAGGGGCCTTACAAAATGGAGTAGGGCTTTGGCGTATGTTCCTAAACTCGAAACTCGCATATTCATATTGCGGAGCCGTAATGAAGAGCACTTGAATAGCAAGTAATGTCATGTTCTTCTCTAAAGTTCCTCGTTATTTTTGTGGCACCAATTATCCCGAAACCCTTTTCTGATTATTGAGTCCCTATTCTACGTTACTCACGGTTTCGGAATTTTGTAGTTGGGCTCCTGGGCTACTATTATGGCCTTCAGGATTGCTTCTAAAGCTGGACGGTGCTAAGACCTGTGGATACTGTGTTCGGCCACTACACTATTGGAGATTTCGGGCGTATGCAGGCACACATGTAGAACCTCATATACAAACCCTATTAAGACTTGATAGAACGAAACTATAGGGGCCCAAATATTTTATAATCTCCAATACTACTGCTGGGCGTTTCTCATTATATTCATTGCACTCTACTTGTTATGGCCCCTATATCAGAAACCATTTCATCGTCTAAGCCTCTCCTCGCTGGAAGTCTGAGAAAGCTGGCTGCGGATGCAGTCCGACTCTCATGCCCCCGAACCAGCTCTAAGAATGATCACCTATCCAGGAATCCATTTCCATGATACGGTGCGGAACACAATCATATGGAAACAGGCTTCATGCATCAGAAATTAGCCTAGTGCCCTTGCTGATTCAGGAACGCTTCAAATCTTCGCTTGTGGGCCCTTGGGGTTGCGCCGCCATGTATGCAGGCAGTTCTAGACGTGAAGGTCTCTCTGTGAGTCCTCGAGAGAGAACGGAACCACATGTTTTGCAGTGTTTCTAGATGTTTGGCCGGGCTTCTTCTTAGGGAGTACCCTAGCCCAAACAAGGTTAACCTCTTCAGTTATGGTAGGATTATATGAACCCCGGAAGATTAAAGTTAAAGGCTACCTACTCAGCTACTAAATATAGGTAATATTTTGGGGTTCCTTATTATAATTAGAGTATATGATTGGCGCCAAAGCCCTATTCTAATTATTAAGGCCCCTTATATCATACTACCCTTATAGATCCCTTATAGCAGTCCTTATAGACCCATTTAAAGGGAAGCCTCTTCTTATGATGAAGGCCCCCCTACGATTGATGATATAAATCCTGCATTACCTTAAGGACCCTAAACTATGGGAAAAATGTATACCCCTGATTATGGGCAATGCAGGATTTATATGGGTGGTTGTCAAAATTAGGGTCCCTTTTTGGGTCCCTATTCTAATGCGGCACCTATTACCCAAAAAGGGACCATCATTTTGACAAGCACCCATATCATCAACCCTGAACCCTAAACCCCATAGATCCCTTAAAGGAGCCCCTTAAAGGTACCCTTATAGATCCCTTTAAAGGAACCCTAGGGATTTACATCACCCACCGTATTTTAAGTGGGACTCTGGAGCCCCTTCGTCCGAGGGCTCCGCCGATCCCTTGAGGAGGTGCAGGAGAGTTGCTGACCTGGACTTTGAAGTAACCAGGGGGTTTAGGGTTTAGGGGTCTAGGGGTTTAGGGTTTAGGGGTTTAGGGTTGAGGGGTTTAGGGTTTAGGGGTTTAGGGTTGAGGGGTTTAGGGTTTCATAGTGACTTTGAAGTAACCAGGGGGTTTGGGGTTTAGGGGTTTCGGGGTTTAGGGTTGAGGGGTTTAGGGTTTCATAATGGTGTGAGGTAACCAGGGATTAGGGTTTAGGGTTTCCTCATGGTTTGGGGTTTAGGGGTTTAGGGCTTAGGGTTTCATAGCAGTAGTATGTACTGGACTTTGAAGTATCCAGAAGTGGGGTTATAAGTAGGGTAACTATACTTATAACTCATATTAGGGGACTTATAACCCTACTTGAGAAAAATATAGACTTTTATTTCATAATGGTTCCTTTAAGGAACAGGCTTCAACAAAAGTGCTCAAGTATGATACTCCAAACCCAGGTGACCGTCGAAGGTCAGGTAGGAGGACTTCTGGACGTTGTAGAGCCTCGGATAGGGTTGAGGGTTGAGGGTTTGGGGTTTGGGGTTTAGGGTTGGGGTTTGGGGTTTGGGGTTTAGGGTTTAGGCTTTAGGCTTTGGGGTTTGGGGTTTAGGGAGGACTTCTGGACGTTGTAGAGCCTCGGATAGGGTTTAGGGTTTAGCGCTTAGGGTTTGGGTTTAGGGCTTAGGGTTTTGGGTTTGGGGTTTAGGGTTTAAGGTTTGTTGTTGTTTCTTTTTTTTTTGCGGGCCCGTTTCCTCCCTGCTGCAGTCGGAATACCTAGTAGGTAGAGCCATGGGGTTTGCTTTTTAGGGTTTAGGGAGGACTTCTGGACGTTGTAAAGCCTCGGAGCCCACGGCCTAGGCTTCGGGGTATGGGGATGCTTAAAGCATCGTGGGGCTTAGTAACTCGAGTTACCGTTAGGGCACTTTTACTTCTAAATATTTATGACCCTGAGGCTCTTAAAAACAAACCTACTAAGTCCCATGATCCTCCAAGTGCCAAACTCCTATAGATCCCTTATAGAACCCGGTAAGGAACCCCTTCAAGGACCCCTTCAACGACTACTAAGTCCCATGAACCCCTAAACCCAGGTTGAGGGGGTCTTAGGGGTTTAGCCAAGGGTTCTAGGGGTTTAGAGGCTTGAGGGTTTGAGGGTTTTGGGGCTTGGGGGTTTAGGTCGTCGGACCCTGCGACCGAGGCACAGGAACGGATAGAGCAACGAGCCTGAACATGCGTGGATCCGCAGTTCCGAACTGTCAGACCCGGGGCCTAAACCTAGTTCAAGGTTGGGATAGGACTACAAATTTAAATGTCTATTCCTTATTGGGTTTAAAGTATCCATAAAGATGTAAAATGTTACCCAATTATGACAAAGAAACCAAGTGACCTAAGACCCACAGTCCCTAACCCTAAGTCGCAACTTGTTGGGGTTTCGAATACGACCTAAATCCAAGGCCTGAAAGAAACCAATTAAACACGCATGAACACTTAAACAAATACTACTATTCTTTATACGATTCCTCATATTACAGAACCCTTATGGTAACCCTTATATGGCATTGAAGTTTTAGGCTTTAGGGCTAGACCGTAACTCTAAACCCTAAACCCAACCGTGGGCCTTAGGGCAGGGTCTGGGATTGAACTTCAGAAGCACACCCGGCTGCTTGAGGGGTTATGGGACTTGTTTTTGGGTCATTGAATCTGGTGATTGGAAACTTGGAGGAGTTGCAGATATTGTATGGGTGTTTTAGGGTTTAGGTTTGTAGGGTTTGGGGCATTTGAAGAAGAGCTCGGAAAGGATTATGCAGCTTAGTAAGTGAGACAATCAGAACTGGGTTATGTCTTGGGGAGCCCTAGTCGGGTATGCCCAAGCTCCAAGCGTGGCCCACTTTCTCAGCCCCACTGCTCCATCAAGGTGCTGGTAGGATTTGGGGTTCAGAGTACCGAAGACTTTAGGTGGAATACTGACAAGCACAAAAAACAGCCAAAGACTGCGCGTGGCTCCGTAATTTCGTGGACTTCAGCGAGCAAAACAGAAGTCCAAAAGCCTGTGCTGCATGACCTAAGCCCAGAGCCCTGTACCTTATGCCCTAAAACAACACGAATCCTGAAAGCTTAGACAGAACCCTGGCCCTCACCATAAACCAAACACAATCCTTCACCCTTTCAAAAAGCTAATCCATGTCTCGCCTAGTGCATCTTTGTGAGACCATTGGGCCGTGCCCTCTGGGTAGAGCAGGACATCGCCTGTCTTTTGCTTCTATTCAGGGATTGGTTGGGGTTTAGTGCTTAGGGTGTTGAGGAGGTGTTGCTCAGGATCTGCGGATGCGGGTCTAGGGGTTTAAGATCTCGGGTCCCTTTTGTGTTTAGGGTTTCGGGCTAATGGCTTCTGCCCAGGCCCATTTAGGTCGTTTTGGGGCCTGCCGTCTGTCTTACTTGTGCAAGGGATCCCTCAATGCCCTAAACGCTGCAGCCCAAGCCCTGCTCGAAACCCCTGGAAATCAGATTGTCTCCTCCTGATAGTCCATATATACTTCTATGGGAATATGCCACAACCCTTGTTCTACTGATTACGGCCCGTGTAAAAACCGTACAACACATAACAAGACCTATCACGAGCTCACATGCTCCTTCAACCACACTGCTAAGCAACACAAGGAACTGTAGCAGTGCAACCAAGAGCCCTCAACCCCTAAAGCCCTAAGCCTAAACCCATTAAAGCTCTAAACCCTAAAACCCTAAACAACAGCAAACTGTAGCAGTCCGAGCGGCGGTCTAAAGAATCCTTCAAAAACCTTACAAACCCCTAGCACACTTCCTGTCTTTCTTCTTCAGGTTCCTGAGTAGCCCCTTTACAACAAGGGCATACTTTTCCTGCCATTCGGTTTTTATTTAATAAGGGGACACCACAATGAAAAGGGCAACAGGGTAGTAGACCCTAAACCTCTATAGATCCCTAATGGAACTCCTGTCAGTTCAGGGAGCCCTTTAAGAGTGTACCTGGCTTCTTTCGGCCCTGTCTCACTGGCTTAAAACCCATGGAAATAAAAGTTGAAACTTTCAGAATCGACTACCTCATAAGAGCCCCAAAAGTTGAAAAGCTCAGTATACAGCCAATAAGTAAAAGCAGTCCAAGAGGCGGTAGGACTTGCCGGCCTTGATCCGATCTGCCGAGGCCGTGGCCTCTTTGGCTTTGGAAGCGCTTTAAAGCTGAGGGCCGAAAGGCAGGGGCTGGGGGTGTTGGGTTGACCTTAACCCTGAATATCCTACCTTTTTAGGGCTCCTTATTATGATTTCCGGTTATAAGTCCTCAAAAATGTCGGTCCTTCAGGGTACTATGATTAAAATAGGGAACCCTCAAAATAGTTTTGAATACCTATTAACGGGGGCTGGGGGTGTTGGGTTTAGGGCTTAGGGGTCTTGGGCTTAGGGGTTTGGGGGCTTAGGGTTCGGGGGGCTTTGTTTAGGGCGTGGGGGGTCGAGGCTTTGGGGTTTCGGGCCGTAGGTTGAGGGTTTATGGATATTCAAATTACTGGGTTCTTGTTAAGGAACTTAATTTAAGTTACCATAATAGGGATCTATCGTAAATAATAGGGTTTCCTTATTATGGTAACTTAAATTAAGTTCCTTAACAAGAACCCAGATTAAGGGTTTGGGTTTAGGGTGTGGGGCTTCGGGGCTAATGAAGGCTTTATGGCGGATTTTAAGGGATCTTTCCGTTTTTTGGTAGGGGTTCAGAATCCGCGCCTTAGTGGGGGTCCTTATGGGCTCCACAGAGGGACCTTGCTGGAGTGAAACGGCTTTTGGGCGCGCGTAGTATGCCGTAGATTCTGTTGGGGGCTTTCGGCCTCAATGCAGGGGCTTTAATCTCTCGTAGAGTTATGGTACGGAGTACGGGGCCCAAAGGAGTAGGTATATGATGGTATATGAGGGCCTAGAGGTGAAGCATGAATCAATGGTTCATGATTTGTTGCGTTGGGGATTCAACTTCCTATATACAAATCCCTAAACCCGAAGCCCTAAAAAATAAACCCTAAACCCTAAAACCCTAAAACCCTAAACCCAGCCGCCCTCTTTTGTCCAGGGTTTCGTTTTGTGGGTCTTTGGGGTTTGGGCTCAGGGGCTCCGGGGGCTCCGAGCTTACGGGTTGAGAGGTTTAGGTATTTGACCTGAAAGCGCAAGCTCTTAAAACGGGATTTAGTTTAAGTTACCATCATAGGTATCTACAGTAAGCTCTTCAACAGGGATTTGGTGTCAGTTACCATAATAGGTGTCTACGGTAAAGAGTGTGGTCGGGCTTCTTTTTTGAAAGCGTGCGGCTGAAGAGGAAGGGACTTGCGTTAGCCTTTCAAGACTTGCGACACATTTTTTTGCAGCACATTCTATTTCTTTATGCATTTTTGCACTACATTTTGGTATTGCGCATGGAACGGGAATTATAGACTAACTTCTGATCACAATGTAACAGCTTACTTGAGGTCCATCCTACTTACCATGTCCCTCCCCGGACGGGCAAGCCTTCTCTCAGTTCAAGGCTCTGCGGTTCAGGGTTTAGTTTTTAAGCCATACTTAGAGGGTCATGGGACTTAGTAAGTAGGTTATAACTGGGGTTATAAGTCCCCTAAGTGGGATTACCCTAATTATAACCTACTTATAACCTTACTTACTAAGTCCCATGAGCCTATAAGTAGACCCTAAGCCCTAAACCCCATAGATCCCCTTAAGGATCCCTATAGATCCCTTTAAGGAGCTTACTTACTAAGTCCCATGATCCTTTAAGTACTGTAAAAGACTTACGGTTAGGGACTCTGGGGCTCAGGCTGCCTGATTTAGGCGGCTTTAGGGGTTCAGGGGTTTAGGGTTTAGGGGTTTAGGGTTTAGGGACCTTAGGGGTTAGGGTTGAGGGGTTCCAGGGCACACGGCTTTTGGGGTGAAGGGATGTTTCGGGTTTAGGCTTTCTCTAAGGGGTTCTTTAAGGGTTCCTTTAAGGGATCTGGGGT